ATATATATATATATATTCCATAACTAACCTCTGTGTTAGAACCATCCACCCATGCCCTAGTAATTGTTGTAACCCGTAGCCTCATCTGACCTTCAGGATTTTGATAACTGCAAGTAACCATCACATTGGTACTTAGTAAGATATGCATTTCAACAAGAATGAAAAAAATATTGAAGAAGATAACACCATACTTTGTTAAGAATTGTATATACAGCTGTGGATTTGGTATTCCAGGTTGGCTTGACCGTTCACTAGGTGAAATATCAAAGAACACAGTCAAACAAGTACTTCTATCAAGACCACACATCTTCCATGAAGTTGTATTTCCTTGTCCTACAATGGTGTCAGCACAAAGAGCCCCCTTCTGCAAGTATCCAATAAGTCAGCACTGCATTTATTAGAACAGAAGAAAAATTAAAATATGCATCTCGTGTCAGAATAACTCTGACAAAATTTTAGTCTCTAAACAGGTCAACCTTCTCCATAGATGTACATGGTCCAATAATTCCCTGAATTTTGATGTCCTTTGAGCAATTAATCTCAAGAGTGCCACTGGGATGAAAAATAAAGATCACAAATTTAGTACAAAACTGTATTTGTTAAATATATTTAAGTGTATAGGAGTATAACAGAATTAGTAAAATATTCTACCAAATGTAGCAAAATAACAAATTCTCCTTCGTCTCAACTCAAAGAATTTGGTCTATTTATAATGATATTACCTTGATTTATAAAAAGGTAAAAGGAAATGATACATGGCAATGAGAAGTGTGTTAGGAACAAGGTGGTTAATGGAACGGATGCCCCATAGATCAGATCAAGTATATATGGTTAACTAGCTTTTCCTAAGGAAAAGCATAAGAGAAATAAGAATGAATGACTTCTCACAATCTGATTAAAACAAAAGGAACAACACTCAGGCTCAAAAATAGAAGAACCTTCCAAGGATGAAACCAAACTAAACGATGCATATATGATGGAGCTTTATGAGTAATATAGAAGAAGGGAGTTATGGAGTTCACACTAAGTTCATAAAGAAAGGTTCCCAAGGTGAGTTTCCTCTAACTTCCAGCAGGTCTATCAACAATACATAATGGAAGTAGAAATAAATGAATCAAATATATCATGTCTTCACCATATTCTGAGGAATGTCACCTCTTTTTGGATTATAAGGTACTTTTTAGCAGTTTCTTTAAAAATAATTTCTAACTTTTCAGTATCTACAGGCTATTAGGCCCATCACAGCTTCCCCATCAATGGTACAGTCACATGAATCAAATTTCTGTACTAACAAATAAGTGAAGAATGATAATGTGATGTATAATGCAAGGGAAGGATGCAACCAACTTACTTAAAAGAAAGGCCTAGAGACTGCTCTCCATCCTCAAAAATTCGCTTAAAAGAATCTTTGAAAACCGGATGTCCAAAACTTTCAGCGAGCACAACTAGTCCACCAGTTCTTTCAACTGCTACTTTCATCTCCGCAACCCCAACCTGAACATATTCAGAAAGGGTTAGAAAATATATTAAGCACTTCAACATCCATAGAACTTCCCTCCTCGGGAGTACAGCCACTAACACGAGACTTGAACATGATGACATGAAAATTTTCACAAGAGTAGGACACGTCAGAGTACTGACATGGCCATTATTTCATGTGAATCTCATATATTATTATATTATTTTTTACTTGGTACAATTAGAATCTATGATTATCATAAAAATTATATAAAAATCTAGCAACCATTTATAGTAGCAAAATTCATATATATACTTCAAACACATACATAAAAACATTCGATTATGTCATCAGTTAAACCTAAATCAAAATTTGACCTGCCTTGAAAACTAATATAGATGGATAAATGTCTTACATATTTTGCATGACATTAATAGAAAATTTTGTCAATGGTACTACAAGGTCCTAATAAGTACTGAAGTATCCAACTTCCAACAAGGACACAACACACAACAAACAAACCTGAACGTTCACACATCATAGTCACTGGAACTGTCCTAGTGTAATGTTCACAGCGTGCTAAAATGACACATCTCATTATTACACAAATAGACTGACTACTTGTAACTTGATTTTGAAAACAAAAAATGACTTATTGGGTATAAAAAGTTAAAAACAATGAAGACAACAAACAAATCAAACCTGATCAAGTGCTGAAGCAAAAAGGTCCAAAACATGGCCCTGGCTAACCAGCTGCTTGGCAAGATTATCATAAAATTTAACAGCTTTGTGGAAATATGGAGCAGCATCTTTATCAAGATCTTTATGTGAACGAACTGGCTCTGATTGATCGTTTGACACAATCTGCAAATCATATCTACTGTAAGCCACAATGCTTGAAAATAAGATGAATAAGAGAGTTAGGTATTAAATTAAAATGGAAAATAAGTTCTGTTGGCCCTAACATAGCATGCCCAACCATTTACTTAAAACTAGTTAAAAGTCACACCAGGGACATTCTTACAGCATATGAGACTATGAGTTATGTCAATCATAGTTCACTGAATAAAGCAATGAATTACCATGTACATGTGAGACCCGGATAAACAAATTGAAAATGTCATAATTGAGAACTCACCTTAAAGAGCTACCACCATGGACCCTAGGAACTAGATTCGCTAGTTGATAAATCAGATATCAAAAAGCATATGGACCTAACAGCACTGACTAATTGAAAGCCATTAAGATAGAAGTCAGAATCAATTGCAGAAGTAGCAATTGTTTTCCAGACAAATGTAAGATGCATTGCTGCTCAGCGACCCTACACTACAACGAGTAGGTCAATCCCAACTATTTCTATCAGACCTACAGACCCCAAAGACTCCAGTTGTTATCCAATTTAAAAATGAGAAATTCTTGAATCCAGCATCAAGGTAACAAGAGGGGGAAGAAGAATATTTTACCAGTCCAGGGCCAACGGTACATGGCCCACCAACCAAAGCTATGATTCGGGCTCCGGTACCACCAGTACATGCTCCTAGTAAGCCAGCTGCGACACTGAGGGCAACCCCCGTGCACCGCAAATCACGATTCCCCGGTTCCACTGGCCACTGATTCCTCTGCAACTCATCTAGCAACTGGGATGAAACAAAATCAAAAGAAACCACATATAAATTATTAGTACCAATTAAATTATTGTGGTCACAGAGATGAAAGAACTCACAGAATTGAGGGTATATTCACAGTCGGACGCGGGAAGTAGGAATCTATTGACGGACGTCGAAGGATGCAACCCATTTCCCTGGGGTCCCTTGAGATACGCTGGCGCTCCACCAACGGCACCATGGCGAACACCAGCTAACGAAAGTCCCAACTGTTCCAAGATCTGGTCTCTTGAGATCTCCTTGGTTCCCCTAAACACGTAGATCTTCGACATGTCCGCGAAGCCCAGCTCGTGGAGGTGGACCTGGGTGCCGAAAGTAATAAACCCAACGAGGGCATGGTCCGGTAGGAGATCGATGGCACGGCGCATGGCGGACTGGACGTAGCCGAGCTCCTCCTCGATGAGGCAGGTATCAAGGACGAAGAGGAAGACGGGAAGCGGCGGAGGCGCGGCGGCATCGAGAGGCGGGGGCGCGTACTCCACGGTGGTGCACTCGGGGTACAGCTCGCCGGGGACGTTGGTCTCGCTGATGCCAGCGTAATGAGGGGGGAAGTGGTTGCGGGAGAAGCAGAGAGGGCAGATCCAGATCTTGGCAGCAAAGTCGACGCGGGCGAAGGGGTTTAGCACGGCGGCGCAGGGCGGCTTGCAGCGAAGCGGGGCGTAGGGGAGAACGACGAGGGAAGGAGAGGCGCGGATCGGAGTCACTGAGGCGGCGACGGGAACGATGCACTTGCTCGCCTCCACCTTGGATCGAGGCCACGAATTCCAAGTCATCCGGACGCCGTCGGGTCCATCGGGGTCGGTGGAGGAGGCGCCGCCGCCGCTGAAGGCGAGGTCGACCGCCATGGACGCGGGGGAGATGGGAAGCGATCGATCGCCGACGGAAGTTACGTACTGGAGAGGGGAGGGGAGGGGCGATCAAAGGAAATTTGCCATCGAGAGGAGAAGAATATGACTTGCGGGGGAGCGGCGGTGGTGACGCGGCAATTGGGTTCAGACAAACCACAGTAGCAGAGATTGACTTGGGCTGGGCCGTATAAAATCACAGTGAAATCTACATCAATTTTGGGCTGTGCCGTATACATATTCTGATCCACGTGCAAATGAAGGCTACTAATGGAGCGGCATCGTCGGATACCCCTAACAAGTACACATCATCCATCTACGTGGTTGTGCGCCGAGCGCTCAGTGATTCCGCTAACCCCGGCGACACGATAGGGTGTCTCTTGTCTGTGAGCATTGCGTCAACCAGTTGGCCTTTCGAAGCCTTGGCTGCTACGGCGGGGAGGAAGCTCTCTTTATACTATCGAGCTTATCGAAGGGTCGACGGTGATGTGAAGTAGGAGTCCACGTGTTGACATCTGACACACCACACGATTGAATATATACCTTCAAAACAATCGATCATGAAGTAGGACTTTAAGCAGGTATAGATCCTAAAATATATATGGAAATGTCACACAAAGATGACTTTTACATTTTGCTTTTGCTCATAAGATAATCACTCTATCAGTCTGAAAAGATCTAAATGCATAGCCAAAAGAACAGATCTTTAAATCACTTTATTTGCATTTACCACACAGATTGTCCAGTTGTATAGCATCAGCACAAAGTACAAGCAATAAAGCATAATAAAACTAATAGGTTCACGAAAAACCATAATGCATTCAACAAGTTATCTCAAATATGTCTGCTTCTACACTGTCAATCTTATTCCTGTACTCGGATCAAACAAGTACAACCTTGATGAATCTAGGGAAAAAAGGCACCCTTTTCTGCTGCTTATTTCTTTGATTTATCAAAGCTTCCACTGGTGGCACAAACGCAAGCAATACCAACAGCCCCAGGCACCATGAAGAAACATTAAGCTCAGTGCTGGGAATTTATCAGATTTCTGATGACAAATGGAAGGATTCCTCCATGATTGAAGTAGGCCAGTTCTACCTGCATTGCAGTGATATGACAAGGTTCGTTAGACTTAAGTGAAAGACAAACTGACTGATCTTCATCGTCATATGAGCTTTGCAGACACTTGCGACCATTTTCCATCAATGTCTATCAGTAAAAACAGAGTTCCTACTTGTGGTTGGTCAAAGTACGGTGGAAACTGTATGAGATGGAAAGCTAATGTGCTGCATGCATATTCTGTAACACTGGGATAAATGAAAATAAAATCTGAATACAGATGAAGATGCGAACAAAGTGACTAAGATGCAGAAAATTACTATGAAGATAAAAGGAATAATACAGATAAAAATGCAAATGATGATACACAACTAAAGAAACACAATATTACAAAACTTGCTGTAGGGACATGACATACAATCTCATGCTTCTTAGGTCAAATAGAGAAATAGGTGAGACAGCAACTGCAAACTAGATGGATTGATCGTATTCTACAAATACATGATGTATAGAGAGAGACGGAGGGAGGGAGGGAAAAGGCATAATGACGTTATAGTTAATAGTCAACGGGTCCTACTGTGATGAAGAATATGTTTACACTCACTTCATGTGAAAACCGGTATGTTGAGCTATAGGTTGATCTTTTAAAAAGTCATTCTAAGCATAATTTTCTTTCTTTAACTAGCTATAAATTCTCTCACCAAAAAAAGAAAAATAATGTTTGATATGCAATCACAATTTTTTCTTGAATCTAGATAGAACAACTTAAAAAACATCAAGATAACAAGAGAATTTACAGTTAGAAGGATCATTCAGTAACAACTTATGAAATTAACATCTTATTTAGTTCATAAAACTTTAAATTGCCAACTTAGTAAATTGTCAACAAATCGAACTCCAGGTTCTGGACTGTAGTCCAGTAAAAAATTTACCTCTGTATCAAACCGAAGAGTGCATGTGAAAGATTTCCCATTGTCCACAACTACAGTAATATCTTGCCCAGGTCTTATGTCAGTGATGCTACTTGGAAGATCTATTGTGTAGCGCTCATGCCCTGTCAAACCCAGTGTCTCAGCATCCTCACCAGGCTTGAAACACAGTGGAATTATACCCATTCCAACTAAATTGCTGCGATGGATCCTCTCAAAACTTTTAGCAATGACTGCTTTGACTCCCTAACACAAAAATATTCAGAGTGGCCATGTAAAATTAATCTGAAAACAAGCAAGTATTATATGATGGACCATGCCAATAGAAACATACCAACAACATTGGACCCTTAGCAGCCCAGTCTCGAGAGCTACCACTTCCGTACTCTGCTCCTGCCAAAACTATGGTATCATGCCCATCAGCCTTGTACCTCTGAAATAAAAAACAGGTGCAGTCTCAGTGTTTCCATATTCAGTATTAAGAAACGAAAAAAAGAAGTCCAAACAAATCAATTCCATGAATATAACTCGAAGATATTCTAATACCACATACCATGATAAGTCAAACAAATAAATAATAAATAATTTGAAAGCAAAACTCTCAGTTTATGTTTCAAAGGAATCACCATTGCTACTTCAAAGACATAGAGTTTGTCCCCTGTTGGGATATGAACAGTCTTTGGTCCCACTTCTCCCTTGAGGAGTTTATTAACAAGACGAATATTTGCAAATGTTCCCCTTGCCATGATTTCATCATTGCCCCGCCGGCTGCCATATGAATTGAAATCTCTGCGATCTACACCACGGTCAATTAGGTACTTTGCAGCAGGACTGTCCTTGTGAATGCTACCTGCTGGTGAAATGTGATCTGTTGTAATACTGTCGCCAAAATTTAATAAACAATAAGCATTCTTCACCCCATGTGGACCAGGTGGAGCCATGGTCATGTCCTTAAAATATGGTGGCTCATGAATGTAGGTGGAATTTGGGTCCCATGAATAAAGAGTTGTTGCAGGAACAGTCAGCTGGTTCCACATAGGGTTGCCTTTTGTGATTGCCTCATATGTACTCTTGAACATTTCAGGCAAAACACTGGATTGCACAACCTACAAAAATGAAAATTGACACAAGAGTCACAAGACAAATTCATTCTAGCACCAGGTCCCATTGGTGTTAACTATATTCACAAAATAAAATCATGAATGAGACCAAAAGTTCAATAAAGCACAAGATGTTCAATTTAACGACACGTTTAGAAGGCAAAAGATGGACCAATAGATAGACCAAGAAAATCATGCTGATGTCATTCAACAGGAATACTTGTGACATGTCATTTCTATCTACATATAATAATTTGAAAATATTTTAGTATCTACCTGTGCAATCTCTTCAGTGGACGGCCATATATCCTTGAAGTATATGCTCTTCCCATCCTTCCCTGTTCCAATTGGCTCCTTCTCAAAATCAATGTCAACCTGAAACATTTGATTACCAATGCAAAAGAAAGATTAACTAAGACATTGGAATATACAAATAGAAAGAACATGAAAAAAATGTGCTGCCATTGACATCAGGACTCACATGTCTACTCCAGTTAAATAAGATGGAACACATTCACAAAGACCAATGAATTCTTTGATTATAAATTAAAACAACTAATGAGAAAAAAAAACGGATCAGTTTTTTAAACATTAGAAGCACATGCCATTAAAACATAACTTTATTAAAAAGAACAAATCAGGTGTACATATTTTAATTTTTTAAGTAAAAGAAGATAGATTTTTATATTGTTATAAAGCATACTCCATATTCAGAAATTACACATTTCACTGCAAGCAGCCTAAAAGAGCCAACAATACAAGATCCAGCACAGAGAACACTTACTGTTCCAGCAAGCGCATAAGCTACAACAAGCGGAGGTGAAGCAAGATAGTTAGCTCGTGTCAATGGATGCACACGTCCCTCAAAATTCCTATTTCCAGATAGAACAGCAGCAGCAACTATATCTATGATAACAGCAAATAAGAATTAGTATTAGTTTCAAACTTCTGGATAAAATAGGTGTGCTATGTCACATGTACTGATACAATCATTCTATTAGAATTTATAGTACCATTATCGGAAATTGCAGCAGCCACAGACTCATCAAGATCCCCAGAGTTTCCGATACATGTTGTGCAGCCATACCCAACAATATTAAATCCTTGCTGATTCAAATATTCTTGTAGGCCACTACAAATTCAATCAAACAGATTCAGCAGAATCAAAACACAAAATGGTCAGAGAGGTCGCCCATCCTAATATGTAATACCTCTTAAGCAAATACTTGGTAACAACTCCAGAACCTGGAGCAAGGCTGGTTTTGATCCAAGGCTTAACCTATAATTAAAGCAAAAAAGATTATCCAAAGGAATTCGAAAGATAGCAAGACAATCATTATCGTGAAATGCATGAGAAAATAAAGTTAAAGAAGTGAAATATAAGGAAAAAAGGCAAGTTCCAAAAAGATATGGATCAAAAGGATATGTCACCGACTATGTACTAACCTGTAGACCTAATTCACAGGCCTTTTTTGCAACAAGACCAGCACCAAGCATAACATTGGGATTTGATGTGTTTGTGCAGCTTGTAATTGCTGCTATGACGAGGCTACCATGCTTGAGCTCCGCAGGCTGTCCATGAAAGTCAAACTTTACAATTTTTTCTTGTGATTCCTTCGGCACTGCAAAGCCCTGAGAGACCAAATTTCAATGTTAGAAGAAAAACTGAACATAACTCAATTGACTTGCAACTAAACACAACCAAATTAACTACTAAGCATATCTTGGTCTAGTTCTATCAAGTCAACAGTTGACATTGAGAGTCACTGACTATTCATGAAGTACAACCAGTGCATATGTATATATTTCCCACTGCTATGCTCACAACACAGATTTAATAAATCAACTTTACAGGCAAAAAAACACCTCGTTGATGTGGTCTACTTCAGCATCTTATTCTCATTATTTTCATAGACACCAATCACAAAATAACTGATAGAATAAAATAATGACTCTAATAATAAGCCACCTAAACACCAGAGAAGAAACAAAAAAACAAAAATAAGAAGTAAAGTTGCAACTATCTGGTGTA